GGATATTTTAGTTTCAAGCGATCGAATTTTTGCCATCGGATGCACTGCATTCGACTGTACATTCTCACATGTTAAACTAAAGTAGAGGGTCTTTACTTTGCACATTTCAATATCACTGATATTGTAAGTAGAAATACTTCGAGTGAAATATTTCAGTATTTTATACTCACAATACCAGTGATATTGAAATGTGCAAAGTAAAGACCCTCTACTTTAGTTTAACATGTGAGAATGTACAGTCGAATGCAGTGCATCCGATGGCAAAAATTCGATCGCTTGAAACTAAAATATCCTTGAAATCCAAGTCTTCCAATAAGTATGTTAGAGTATCCCTTCTAAATATAAACTCGACCTGACTCTTCAAATAAGACCTATGGAGAAAAACCCTTTATGCCATCGTAAACAGCACATCGAGCTCTACAAACTGGTATAGATCATATTCGAACATCAGTGTGGCACTTGGGAACCTTCCTTCATTAGAGAATTGTGAGTTTTACGTTGTATTAAAAATTCGTACATGAAATACTAGAACAAGTGAAAGTTTATTTTGACTTGTTTATCAAGTAAACAAACATTTATTGAGTTTTAATTGAACATAGAATCTCTCTATTTCTTTTCTAGATTACTATTTTAAACGTATTTTTGTGTTTTTTTGTCCATGGATGAAAATCAGCTAGAACTTATCGAAGAATGTAAAGTATTGGTAAGTTAATTGAACAATTTCATGTATTTGATGAATACATTGAACCGTTTCTTTCTTCTTTGGGATAGCGTTTAGAGCTCGATTATTTAATGGCAAAAGAGTTCGATCGGGTACTTGCCGAAGCAAACGAAATTATCAAGGTTTGTTGTTGAAATTAACATATTTTGGTGACATAAAACTTTATAAAATAAATTATTTTCTACTTAGAGTGCAATTAAATCACTGAACAGATCAAATGATCGTAAGTAAAGGCAAAGTTTTAAGGAATTTCGTTATATAGATTTTTGCTTTATTTATGCAGCGAACGGGGATTCAAATGCGTTAGTTTTGTCCCTAACACATCCACAGTAAGTATAATAAATAATGTATAATAGTGTTGAGCCTACTGTTAGACGGATGATTTTACAACTAATACAATTCTTCATTTCTTTCTTTTTGATTTTAGAAATAGTGAAATATTAAAATGTACAGTGACACTACATGGTTCCGATATTGTGGGTGGTGACGTAACGTATAAAGCTGGTGGAAAAGTAACTCCGGCAATGAACAATGTATTTAAAACAAGTATTATAACATCACAAATGAAATATTGGTTTCTTCAACAGGTATTTTTCCTATTAAAAACATTATTAAGATGAAAAGTTAGTTGAATTATATCTTTTTAGATGCACGAATGTAAACATCATCTCGAGCGAGCAATAAGATATATTCAATTAGCTGATTTTGACCGTAATTTCGAACAAATGAATAAAGCAGCTTATGTAAGACTGAAATATTGAAATTTTTTTTAAATACTATAAAGTTTATTTGAATGAATAGTATATTGATTTACTAATCGAATGCATCAATAGTGCCAAAGATAACATATTATTACCAAAAAAGAAACGTATTGATGATTTAAGACGGAATAAAAATACAGTAATTATTCTTATATGACCTGTCTTTTACTCTTCTTAAATTCTTATTTGATGTTTACTCCAGGCAATATTTGCACCACCAATTCCAGAGAATATGGCCTTTAGTTTTTATATTCAAGGATCTAAGTTATCATTTGCTGTATATCATTGTGGACAAGGAAAAACAAGTGGCTATTTTAAACATGTTGTAAGTCATTTTATCTCTTTCTCTGTGATTACATTCGAATTTGGATCGATGATTAAATCACATTCAGGTTGAAGCAAATGTACCATCCATTGCCAATTTATTGGCACAATTAACCCATATTTTATCGTTATTACAACATCTTCGAGATAAAGTATGCATAGTCTATTAGGAAATATCTTTATTGACAAGATTTCTAAAAGAATAACTTAAATATTTGACATATATCCACTCTAAATTACGAAATCGATTAATATGTAGAACTAGCGTAACTTTTTGACTAGTTTATTCTGATAAAACATCTGCACAAAGTAAACTGCAGTTAAATCAATTCTTAACAAAACAATTCATTTAGAACATGATTATATTTTATTCAAACTTTGAATTGTTGATGTACTTGTGTAAGACGCATATATTCTTGATAATTTTTGTTTTTGAACTTTTGTATTTTAGTTTCAAATATTTGAGGAGTATCAGAATGGTTCTGATTGGAAAGCGATGATTGAACAAGAACAAGAACAACAAGAACAACAACAACAACAGATCGAAATTGATGATGCTAATTCAATTATGTTGTGATATAAAAATATATTTCCTAACCTACGTATTGCCTTTCATAAGTGTGTTTGTGTACTCTGTTTATTTTTTTATATTTATGTGCAATAAAATATAACCATGATTACCGATTATATTCTATCAGATTGAATTGATTTAAATTTGATTGACAGTTGGTACCTATCGAGACAATGTTTGACAGACAGTGTGTCTGGTGAAAAATACAAAAAATTAGGCAGACAATTTACACTATTTTTAGAGTAAATATACCCAGTCTTCTTCATTTTAATTGAGAACACTGGATATATAAATGTCATTTCTTTGAAAAATCTCTTATACCTAGCTATGTAATTCTATTCCTCTCTGGTTTTTTTTATAGATTAGCGATGATTTTCAGACGTTGTTTAGCCACGATTAAACTAATTCATTTAAATAGATTGTACTGTTTCTGTTATTATTATTCAACTGAACGTCCTGAAACAATTTCATCAGCATTGAAACGTTTTTATATGAAAGTACATCCAGATCTATTCAGTCAATATCCAACTGAAAAGGTCTGGAAGAAATCAGCATGTTTTAAGTAAGTCTTGTTAAACGAACGTTAGTTTGTTTTGTTCTAGGATGTAAATGAAAAATCATTACAAATTGTTAGCGCTTATTTATCTTCATTACAACGTAAAGAGTATGTGACACCAGTGACAGTCACATTTTATGTTAAATCCGGTGCAGTACCCAACAGTAGGTAAGACTTAGGATTATTCGTTTTTTGAGTTAACATTTTTTTCTATGATATATTTGATAAGAATAGTATCAATGTTGATCTTGCTTTCAGCTTTAGTAAATCTTTTACCATATCGTGTCACGTTGAAATCAAAGGATCTAATTACATGTGTCAATTCTATATTATATACGTTTAATTTACAAACAGTTGACGTACCAAAAGAGACGAAAGAAGAACGGCGTTTTAATATTATCGAAATCGAAAAACAGTATGATTTTTCAAAAATTCCGAAAATATCCATCAAGTATATTCATTGTGTATCTTGAAAATATGCCATAATCGATTTCGTTTCTTTTTCCAGAACATGGCTCATAACCAATGTTGCTGCTGCACGTGAAATAGCAAAACGCAATAAAGAATTATTAGATAGTATTAAAGTTAGTGTGAATTATATAAAGCAACGTTTCAAATTAAAAGCTTTGGATTATAATGATGAATGGAGTCTGTCACATTTTAACACTTGTTTGAGAACTTTATCGCTATATACAGAAAAATGGAATGAAACATTACGCATGTTAGAAGGTAAATCAAAAAAACTAAAAATAAATAGCAGAAAAATTAGATAAAGTAGACATTTTTTAGGTAAACGCCTTATCTTTGGAACAAAAACAGCTTTATTAAAAGATGGTTCCGTAGAATTATGCGGTGCCGATCCACCAGTTTACTGGGATACGGTATATTTTATCGGATTAAAAAAACACAATACAATTTGATGAAATAGCTTTTATTTTTTACAGATTATTGGTTCCGTTTTACCACATAGAGATTCTTATCTTGAACAAATCAAAATTCATGAAAATAGTATATGTAAATATTTTACAAATATAGAAATACAGCATGATCCTGGTTCAGATTTTTACGATCGCGCGACGGTAAGTCAATCAAGGAGACGCTGGCTAAATTAGCCAAAGGTCCGCTAGTTGAGATTAAGAAATATTTGAGTTTGTCCGTGTGTCTATTTTCTGAATATAGAATACTTGGCTCCTAAGGTGAATTTCTAACGAGGGAACATTTCCAGGTGTCATCTCCCATTTTGACTCATTCATATCTCAATCGATAGAGTATATCGAGATAGTAAAAAGGCTAAAAAGAATTTTCCTCCATGACTCTTGAAGACCCGATTTTCTGGAAAATCAGTTTTTCAGAAACTCTAAAGAATAACCAAAACCTTTCTGAATGAGTCATGATTGTAGCCCGCAAATTTCTGATCAAAGTGAGACATCTCCCAGTTTTACACGACCTTTCTTTGCAAAGTTATAGAATTTACAAGAAAATATTTCTTATTTCTGTAGCTTTGAGCTGACAATGAACATTTAGGGCTTTTCTTGTAGATTCTATTACTTTGCAAAAAAGGTCGTGTAGAGCTGGGTGATGTCTCATTTTAATCAGCGATTTGCGGGCTACAATTATGCATCATTAAGAAAGATTCTGGTTATCTTTTAGAGTTTTTGAAAAGTAAAGTGGTTTTTAGAAGATTTTTCAAACTCTCCAAGAATATACAGTTTTCTGGACGATGTTACACTTTTTCAAAATCGTATCGAATTTTTTGCCAAAATACATATGCACGTAGAGAAAAGTGCCCTCTTCAAAACGAGAATGTTGTATAGATCAGTGGAGCTAGAACTGATTTTCTGCATCTCCCAAAAACGCTTTAACCAGTTAGAATGGATGTATTTTCTTTAATTAGTAGTATAAAGTTCTTCCCTATCCGTAGCTTTTCGTAGATTAGTATATTTTTTTTGTTTCAAAGAGAAAAGAAAACTGCATCAAATAATAAAGGTAGATTTTTAACTTAATTTTTCAAATTTTTCAGAAATTCAGATTTTCTAAAAGCCCCCTAGTTTTTTATTTTTAAACGTAATAAAAAATAAAACAAAAAGGTAAAACACACATCCAATTTCTACATTCGATGAGATTAACTTTTTATTTTGATTTAAAACTATCATAATAATTCTAACGCATGGTCTAAGAAACGCTTTTTGTAACATATGCAGAATATATTTTTCCTCTTGTTTTCACGAATTTTGGGAACGATTAAAGATCGAGAGTCGGAAATCATTTTACAAGCATCATTTAATATCGCGTATGTTTACTGAGATTTTTCGTTAAAATCGGATATCAAATAGAAAACCTTTTTTTGTTGTTGAAAATATATCTTAGATTTCTTTTTTGTATAAGCTATATTTATTGAGCCAGAGGAGAAAGTACAGAACAAAAAAGAAAGATGTTTTGATGATGTTGGATCTCTTAGATTGCTCAATCGATGTCTTTTTCAAATCTACTTTTTTTCCTGGCTTTTAGACATATGTTGGTCATTTGCAGGCAATAAATCGAAGTTTAAATATGAATTTGAATCATGTGGCTCACACAAAGTATAATTGGAAAAATTATTATTTATTCATTAATCCATATAGTTCTGAGCCATCTGTGACTGAAAGTGGTCTATTTCAAATTAACGCCTATGATGATATTAATGATTCGTTAGATTTTATGGTTCAACATCGTTCCGATGCTAACAATGCCATGACAAAATATTTAGATTATGTAGAAAGTGAAAAACAATTATTAAATAAAGTTATGAACGAATATCAATTAGATGTAATTAGAACGAATAAACGAATGAAAAAAGAGTACATTATTGAATGTTGTCAACGTTTGTTAAATGAACGAAATTATTTGGGAGTACTATTATCACACTGTCGATTAAAAATAGACACAAATTATAACATACAACAAGACGGTACAATATGTATCCCATGGAATTGGGAAACGCAACACGATTAATTTAAGAAAATTTTTGCATGAATGAGCTTGTTCTATTTTTATATCTATAAAATCGACCACAAATATGATATAATGAATAATAATATCGATCTCGGTATTTTTACTCTAACTCTTGTTCCTCAAGATCCCCAGAGATTATTCTTTTTTAATAGAACCGCTGTAAAATTCTCTACAAAATCATACCTGAACTTTAATCTCAGAAAATCAAGAAAACTACACAAATTATACGAAAGACGAAAAAAACTGAAAATTTTGTAAACTCAAAAACAATTTCTTGTGTTAACGTTTTGAAAGTAAGAAAAATTGAATTAGCCATTTTGTAGCCCTGACTATGCTCTATCTTTTAGCTATATTTCAAACTTATTTCATATCAGAGTCCACGGCGAAATAATAATTGTTCTGTCAGTTGTCACGCATTTTTTTTGAAACTTCGTTCTCGAGCACATCATTTGCTCTAAAAATTTCTTTTTTACAGACCACGAGAAAGAGCACATTTGAAAGTATCAAACACAAAAAGAACACGAAAGTTCAAGTCGAAAAAAATACCAAATTTATAAAGTTTTCTTCTTTCGTTCTT